TCATAGAAGAACTGCTGTGGGGGAGGGGAGGAGGGCACAAAGGGGACTTGGGGTACACAGGGTCCAGAGCTGTCACTGAATAGGCCACCTTCTGTCATTCTCAGTTTCCTTGCTTGTCAAACAGGAACTGATCACGGCACTCATCCCATGGTGTGTTGGGTCTGTATGTGGAGCTGATGCATGCGGGTTGCTTGTCACAGGGCTTAGGATACAGTAAGTGCTCTATGCTGCAGCTCCCTCTATATTCCTAAGAGGTCACCTGGGGAACAGGGACCTTAACATTTGAAGGAAACTCGGAAACTTGGTGCTAACTGCTGAGCCTCTGTGTTTATTTTCTTGTTCTAAAACGTCCATCAAATCAAACCCTCACAGCCATCTGGCCAGCTTTGATGGGCACAGCCTGTGTTCCTCTGAAAGTCCAGACACCCTCTAGGCCTTGATGACCCTGTTCTGATTGCTCTTAGCTGAATAACAAACAAGGCACGTGAATTAGCCCTTTAAAGGTATAATTTATGTGGGAGACAGAAATCTTTCCACTGGACTAACATGGAAGGAGGGAGACAACAGGCAAGGGTATCCTCTGAGAAAGTGTGGACCCAGGGAGCCAGTCTCTCAGGCCTCGGGTAACATTTGTTGAGACCCAGATGTGGGCAGCCAGTGGCAGGCCTTGCTGGCTCCCAGTGAGCTAGGACTGATGGCAGGAGACCCAAGCCACCCACCCATCAGAAGGAGGCCCTGTGGTTGAGTGCCCTCAGGCCCCGAGAGAAGTGACTCAAGCTATGGCTCCCAGGCAAGTGACAATGGGAATGTCTGAGGCTTCCCCAGTTCCCAAACCCCCGGTCAAGGTCAGCTCTACGGCCAACCCCTTGCCAATCTGTGGTCACTAGGCTTCCAGCATTGGCCCATAGCCAGTCCTGTTCCCAGCTGCCCACTCTTCAGTCACATGTACAGCCTGTACCTGCAAGCCAGACATTATGCCCCTTCCATCCAGGGTGCAAACTTCCTCAGGCTCGGTGGGGCTGGGTGACCATAAATGACCAATGTTCTGGAGATGGAAGGCCTAGCTGGGAGCCAGACCCGCACAGCCACAGTTTGCGAGACCTCCGTAGGTGGTGCTCCAACGTACAGGAGGCTGGATTCTGAATGGCATGGGTAGTCAGAGCTGAGAGCGTCTCTCATCATCAGTAGGAAGGCAGGACTACAGAAACAAGGAAAAGGCGGGGAAGTACAGCCGCACTGTGTAGGAGAGCCGGGAAAGGTCTCCTGCTCCAGGGTCTTGCCTGAAATACCAGGCCACTGCTCCAGGTCATCCCTGTCCGGCGGGACAATGTCCCTTGCTCTTGAGATTCCTTCATCTGGTGGCTGGACAGTGTGCAGGTATCATGGAGTTTTAAGAGTCCTGGGGAAGTAGCCTAGGTAGGCACTTCCCAGTGTCTGAGCTTCTGTTAGTGGGGTTCTTCCCATAGCTTTCCCCCAAAGACACCCAAATGGACCCTGAACTAAACTCACGGGTATAAGAGAAGGGCGAGTCTTGGTCAGAATCTAAGAGAACAAGCCATTATGACTGGAGCAGGTTGCTCCTCCTCTGGGCCACAGTTATCTATCTCATCTAGACTGGGGTTGATGACTGGCGGGGATTTCTTCAGGGCAATTCCTAGCTTCTCACCCATAAATAAACGTCAACCATTCTCTGTCACCAGCCTTCACTCCTCAAAAGCCACCCACCGTCTCCTCCAAGTCAAGTGCCCGGCTGATGGGAAATATATCATTTGTGCAAAAATAAAATAAAATAAATCTCTTGAAACTCTTCCTCAGGTGTGCCCCATCTACCTCCCCTGCAGCTGTTAGAGACCTACTACCTAGGCAGTTTATGGGGTACAACCAAGCTAGAGGATTCAGCAAAATGGGTGGCTGGGGCAGTTGGTGAGGACCAGACCACCAGCGTCAGCACAGGCAGGCAAGGACATGCAGCCAAGTCACTCGGAAGGAATAGGGACAGCATGGCCAGGACAATTATTACAGTGGACAGGGGCAGGCCACCAGATCAGCCAGGAGGGGCAAGGGTGATTGCTAAGGGCCTAGGCCAAGAGATGCAAGGACCTCGGGAGGCTATTTTTAACTCAGCTTAATTCTCTACCTGGAAAACAGCTCTTGTCAGTGGGGTAGCACTGTTCCCGGAAAGGCTCCATCCCCTAAGACAGGCTGGACTCTCTCAGGTTCCTAGGCAGGCCTCTCCATTACATATACAGCCTAGCCTGTCCAGCTGGAGCCCAGGGACAGAGAGAAACCAGAGCCAGCAAGACAGCTCCCTGTGCTGACCCTGGGAGGCTGCAGTGGCCCCTGCCCGGTTACCACTCTTTTCATACCCAGAAAGATCCTGTCTCCGGCTCCATTTAATTCTTCTATTATGCTTCCCAGACTCAGAGCCTCTGGCTCCCTATTGTCCTGGGCTGGCATTTTGCATTTGTGTGAAGATTAGACAGGTTAGCACTCTGCCTCTCTGGCTCCCCCCTCCCCCCAAAACCTCCCCTCTCCTGTCTTTCTCTTTTACTTCCTCAAATCCCAGCTCTGTCTTTCTCCCTGCTTCCTGGTTCTGCCAAGCTCTCCCCCTGATACCTGCCTTTATCTGCCTGTTTGTTTTCTTCCCTGCCTTGACCCTACTCCTTCTCCACTGACCTGCCCTTTCTTCTTTCTTCTGGCTCCCCACTCTCTACACCCCCACACAAGTCCCTAGCCACATTCACTCAGAGCCCAAGAGAACTGCTCACCTCATTCCAGAACTATTCTTCTAAATTCTTACAGAGCTGCAGCCTACAGATGCAGCGAGCCCCAAATGGGAGCTAGGAGTCAAATTCATTGTGGTTTACTAGTGAGATCAAGACTGGGCTTCCAAAAGGGGTTTCTGTCAAATGCCAGGTATATGGCTGATGTGAACCCCTACACACACACACACACACACACACACACACACACACACACCTGCTCTCTGAGCCTCCTTGTGGGCATTCTTGGAACTGACACCAGAAGAGAGCAGCGGCATCCTAGGGCACAGTGTTTTTGTCCCTGGGCCGACAGCTTCACCTACTACACTTGCCTCATCCTTTTGCTCTACCAAAGCTCTTCACCAGGCTCTCCCCACCCCCTTCTTTCTCTCTCTCATCACCCTGGAAAGAGGCACTATGGCCTATACCTTCCTCTCCCCTGTTCCTACTTTATCCACTTTTTAATGAACAAACTAAACCCTCTGCACAGACATAAAGAGATGCCGAATGGTCTGGGGTCCACAGTCCAGAGCCAGGGGAGTCCTACGTCACTCCCTTCCTTGGAGTGCATTCGCAGGGCTCTTGAGATATGCTCTATGTACAGGGAAGGCCACAGGCCATGCCCTCTGTAGGGTTCTGGACCTCAAGAATGTAAGGTAAGTCTACTACCATGAGTCAGGCAAGCCTAGAATTCCAAGAACTTGAGGGCCTTTCCCATGCACCTGCAGCCAGGCTTCTTGAAGGATCTGCTTGAGTGGACTCTGCCAGGCCAGAACAGGCACAGAGGGACTGCCAATGCTCTGAGTCGCTCATTCTATCCCTTCCCTTTCCCACAGTGTGTCTTTGCTTTTGCCTCTAACAAGACTTCTGAGTCAGCCTAGGGACCCAAAGTAGAATGCCAGGCCCTAGAGAGCTTCTCCTCATGCCTTTGTCTTCTCTTTCTCCTCTTCCCCCTTCTCCATTTATTTATTATTGTTGTGTGTGCATATTTGTATGTATGTATGTGTGTGTGATATGTCTGTGTGAGTGCACGCATGCATGCATGCTATGGCACATGTGTGGAAGTCAGGGACAACTTAGGTGGCAATTCTCTCCTTCTGCCTGATTGAGGCAAGGTCTCCCTTGTCCCCGCTCTGTGCTATACTCCAGGCAAACTGACCCTTAAATTTATAGGCAATTCTCCTGTCTACACCTCTAACCTCACCCTAGAAATACTGAGACCATAAGATGCACACCGCCGCTGAGTCCCAGAGCTCAGACGCAGATAAATCGGGCTTGGGTGGCCAACACTTTTACCCTCTGAGCCGCCTTGTCAGCCTCCTGGCTTCTCCATTTTTGCATAAAGTGAGCAAGATATTCTGTTGCGTCCACTGTGGGAAACCACACAGGACACCTTCCGTGAGCCCGTGGAGCATTCTTCCTAGAAAGGACTCTGAAGTAACTTCGCTATCTCAAGGGCGGATTTGAGCCAAACAGCTTCAGGGGCCAGCCCCGTGTTTTGTTCTTATTTTGCAAAAAAAAAAAAAAAGCAAACTGAGGTCCAGGAGGCTATTCTTTGGTCATGGCTGCACAATTGAGTAGTTTCTAGAACTCCTTCTCCAGTCAGGGGTGGGGTGAGGAGTGCATGGGCAGGGAGGGGAGATAGCATTTCTCAGGGAAAATGAGGATGAGGCAGCCCCAGGCTGTCAAAGGTCAGGCATGAGCTGTGCCCTTCCTGAGGCCAGCGGTCCAAAGGGGATTCTGACTTGCCCAAGGCCATGAAGCCTGGAGTGGGCCCTTCACCTCCCACGCAGTGAAGGGATGTCTCAGCTTGCTTCACAACGGGCAGGGAGGAGAGTGGCAAAATCTTCGTAAGGGGGGGTGGGGGGGGTGGGGGCGCTTTGCTTTGAGATCTCCATTCCAAACTTCCAGTTCTGGAGGGCCACGGGGAAAGTAGGGAGGGGATTGGGAGCACTTGGGGGTAACCTCAGAACTCCGAGGGGCCCTGGGCCTGCAGGGAGCCTGGAGACTCCTGAAGGTGCTCCAGCACAGCGCAGAGGGTGGAGCCCAGCCTTCCACCTCCCTCCCCCTCACCGGGAGGCCAGGGCGGGCCAGGCACCCAGGGAGGAGGCGGTGTCCCTGGCTCTCTGCCCAAGGTGCTGCAGCTAGGCTAGGCGGGGCTGGACCAGCAGGGGCGGGTACCCTGCCTGGTATTATAAGAGGCGGTCAGGGCACCTCGGCAATGAGCTCCCAGCTCGGCTTAGCACCAGGACTTAGGCAACAGGCGCTCCCTGCTCCCCTGGTCCAGCCAAGCACTCTGCCGCTGCTATGGTTTCCACACCGGCCGCCTGGTGCTCCGTCGCTCTGGCCCTGCTTTTAGCCCTGCATGAAGGTGAGCAGCCCTCCCTCATTTGTTGCTGCCCCGGGGTTTGTCCATCGGCATCTCCTCCAAGGGTACGGTGCTTCCCAAAGCCAACTGGGAGCATAGAGCAGGGCGCCCCCAGCAGGAGCTTCCTCAGCCGAGTGCAGGCACAGCGCTGGCGGCTGGGACTTCCCCAGGCTAACCGGTGGTTCCTGAGCATCAAGAGTGCCAACTTCCTTATTATGCAAGAGGAGGAGCCCTACGGGTCCCCTATCCCAGGCAGGCCAGGTGCCCTGACCTCCTCTCCACCTCTCTCTCCTTCCTGTGTGCAGGCAAGGGCCAGGCAGCTGCCACTCTGGAGCAGCCAGCCCTGGCACCCAAAGGCCGCGGCCCCCACCTGCGTTTTCGCCGTTGCTCCTGCAACTCCTGGCTTGACAAGGAGTGTGTGTACTTCTGCCACCTGGACATCATCTGGGTGAATACTGCAGGGTGAGCATCCACCAGGACTGTGGGAGAAGGTGGGGGTGAAGGCCTCTGGCAACCTCTGCAACTGCCTGGCTCACCGTGGGGCTCAGATGGACACTGGGACGGTACCCACCCATAGTTAGTAGTTATGAGTCAATGTGGGGGCTACCAGAATCAGGCAGAGAGCTGCTTGGCTTTGGAATCCTTGCAACAACCTGTAGGAACGTGCTAGCTCTGTGTTCCACATCAGGGTACTGAGGCTCAGAGAGGTGAGGCAAGCTCGTTGGGGTCACACAGGAAGAAAAAGTGGTGGGTTGGTCCCTTCCCAAGTCTGGAGGTGCTGGAGCTCAACCACACTTACCCTGCAGAGAACCAGCCCGTGCAGAGCAGCAGCCCAGGCCACGCTCTGCACGAAACACTACCAGCACAGTACCTTCTGCTGAGCCTCCAGTCTCCCCACAAGGCAGGCCCTGCTGCAGCCCCCCATAGGGCAGACAAGAAGTCTGCCTGGGATACCCTGGCAGGAGCCAGAGCTGGGTTCTCCCTGCCCTGTGCTGCCTCCAGGCTCCTGCATACCTCAGGTTGACGTTTTTGTGGATGTATGTATTTTCCCCCTCTCCAAATTGCATAAGGCAGGAGAAGCTGAGCATATAAACGTGTGCAGAGCTAATCCACGTCCAAACGCTGGCTCAGGGTGGAAACCCTGCCAGTCCCTGTGTGCCGGGTCCACCCAGAATCACTACAGCTCCAAAATTAGCTGTTGACCAAAGGTGTTAGTGGACTAGCCTCAGGGCTCCTACTCTGCCTCCCTTGGCCAAACTGGATCAGAAATCAGCCCAATTACACATGTACACACACACACACACACACACACACACACACACAAAACATATTTATCACACACACACACACCCCCAATAAGTGGGGACCAACTAGAGGCCACTTGACTGAGAGCCGGATGACTCTGGTGACTGAATGGTCTTCCTTCCTCACGGCCTAGATGGGGTGGGGGACTTCTCTGAGGACAGAGGACCAGCTCAGGCCTCCTAGGATCAGCAAGCTCTATTCCTTACATCCTCCTGCAGAAGCTCCTAGCAGAGCAGTGTGCAGAAGCATTGTTAGAGGAGTCTGTGACTTGTGGCTAGTTTAATATGAGAAGCAATGGGATGGTCACCTTTCTTGGCCATGCTGGAGGTGTGACTGGCTGTACCAGTGTTCAGTGTAGACCGTCTCTGCTGGCCAATGATGTGTTTATCTAATCCTGTGTCTCTCCTCTCTTTTTTCTCCTCTCTGCTCCCCCCCACCCCATGTACACACTACCTTGCTGGCTTCCCGCCCACAGACAGACAGCTCCCTACGGCCTGGGAAACCCGCCAAGGCGCCGGCGCCGCTCCCTGCCAAGGCGCTGTGAGTGCTCTACTGCCGGGGACTCTGCCTGTGCCACCTTCTGCCATCAAAGACCCTGGTAGGTGGACTCCTTGCCTGCAGGGGTTGGGTAACTGCTACACGGGACCAGGCCTGGAGGCAGGGTATCTGGGAGATGAGTAGAGGGGCAGAGGCCCAGAGGAGACAAGCAATGTCCTAAAACCCAGAAGTAAACTGGGCCCATGGCAGTCCTTTCCCCCACAGAAATACACTGAGTTCCTCCCTCTGCTCAGCTCCAAGGATTCTGGGAGAACACATCCCCACTCCTGGGCACAGCCACGTGATAGCCCAGGCTTAGAGAGGGGCAAGCCTTGTGTCAGGCCAGCAAGGAATTGGGCCCCACTGGGCTTCAGATTCTAACTGGAGGCTCTGGTACTTCATAAGTTTGTTTAGAAGAAAAATAACATCGGTAGCTGGCAATCCATGACAGGTCCCAGAGTTGTCATTATGTCAAGGATGTTATGGGGTGTGAATGCCAAGCCTCCTTGGTTTTCCCATCTGTGAAGGGGACAGCTGCATCCTTCCCCTCCCCTTCTTGGACCACTGAGAAAGCAAGCGAGTGTTCCAGTTCCCATGACAGTTTACGAGAAACTCCTCCTCTGGGGCTCAATCTGGGGCTCCACCCTTGCCTCAGTTTCCCCTGCAACTGCAGGTGGCCAGATTCTGGGAAGGCCAGCCACCCATCTGCCTCGTTCTGGGGCTGAGAACACATTCCCAGTAGCTCAGCTTTCCTTGGTCCTCACCCCGCCCAGGAGGGAAGGGTGCCAGGTGTGCAGAGTGGAAATGGATCTGCTCCAGAGGGCAGGGTGGGGGCTGGGCTGGGCCCGCAGCCAGCTAGCTTCAGGGTTCTGGCCAGCCCCTCACGCGTTGCCACTCTATTCATTCAGGTCTGAAACTGTGGTCACCCCAAGCAGCCAGGCTCCCAGAGCTGTGTTAAAGCCTGGCAGGAAGTGGGCCGCTGAGGGAGTCCTCCTCCAAAAGCTAAGGTGAGGGTCATTCATTGCATAACTGATCACTTTCTGTATGCTTTGCATGTCTGCCTTATCCTCTGTGTGAGGCAGGACTGGGTCTTCCTTGTCCGTCTAGATAACTGAGGCTCAGAGAGGTGACGCCACTTGTCTAGAGTCACAAAGCATCCATCACATCTGGCTCTGTTAAGAAAGAAATAGATTTATTTTACATGCATGAGTGTTTTACCTGCATGTATGTATGCGCATCACAGGCGTGCATGGTGCCCTTCATCTGTATGTAACTTATGTGCTCTAAGAAGAGGCCACTGGATCCTCTGGAACCGGAATTATGGATTGCTGTGAGCTGCCATGGGGGTTCTGGGAACAGAACCCTGGGTCTCTGCACGAGCAGAAAGTGATCTTAATGCTAAGCCATCTCTCCAGCCCCAAGCCTCTTTCCTTAACTCCTGCATTCTGGGACCAGGAGGTGTGCATCAGGCCTTGAGGGCTTTGACTGGGAAGAACCACAGTTATTCATCCAGGCAGCTTCCCTCCGCCAGGGCTTGGAGTGAATGACTCGCGGCGTTGCTTGCTCCTTCAATACTCATAAGAGATCTCCCCAACTTGGTGGCCACAAGTGGCTTAGCACAAGGCCCACAAATGTTTGTCCAACTGAAGGGCAGAAACATCAACTTGGACCACTCAGCAAAGGGACCCAGGGACAGCTGGTGGGACAGAGTACTGGCTGAGAAGCCCACAGACAGGCTTTGTGAGCCCTGGCTTGCGGTTGGGCTTCTCTGTGCTGCAGATTTTGAAGCAGGGAGGTAGCAATGTCCATTCTGAAGGGTTTTCATGAGGTTAGGTGTGCTAATATGTATGAAGCAGTATTCCTGTAGAGCTCTGGAGGCCTTGGCCATGCCCGCCTCTGCTGTGAAGGGGTCCTTGGGGCTGGACAGTACCTGGTGTGGCTCTTTGGGAGTTACCATCTTTGGGGAAAGGCAGAAAATGGAGCAGGAGTGGTAGGGTAAGCAGGCCCCCGCACAAACTCAAGAACTGAGTGAGAATAAGGAAGGCTTGGCAAATACACAGCACTTCAGTGTGTATGTAGACAGCACAGCACTTCACAGTGTGCAAAGAGCTTGCTTTACTACCCAAGCCTTCATCCTGATGGCAGTTCAGGGGTTTTTTGCTGTTACTGTTGTTTTTGTTGTTGCTTTGGTTTGGTGTAGTTTGGTTTTGAGACAGGATCTCACTCAGTAGCCCAGGCTGGCCTTGAGCTCAAGGCTATCCTACTGTGGCAGGTCCTCAGGACTGGGTCTAGTTAGTGTCTTAAAAGCAGAGAAACGGCCTCAAAGAGGATGAGCCCTGCCCAGGTCCCACAGTCTGGCCCCGAGACCCACTTTCTCACCCCCAGATATAGAACTCTTAAGGTCCGGAAGTGGAGAGTTGCTCCAAGAGCTGCGGCCATGACCTCAGACAAGGTCAAAGGGCCACCAGGACCATGCTGTGTGGAAAGCCCACCTTGTAAACTGCAGATAGAGCAAGATGGCATAGTTTAGGGTGGAGGAATATGAGTTCCAGGAAGGAAGGACATTCACACGGTGTGAGAAAAGGAAAACACGCCAGGGGCAGTGCCCAGGCTCTCCTTGGCAGACCTCTCATCTCGGCAACACCCAATGCTGAATACAAGCAATGTCAGTGGCTCTATGACAGAGACTCTCCTGGGCCTGATGCACAGACCTTGCCTGGCGCAGTGACCACACTCTGAGCCAGGACAGCTCTTTCCTCAAATCTAGGCAGAGGCTCTAGGTCCAACTACCTACCTTCCAAGGGAGTCCTGGGCACCCTGTATCTCCTGAGATGCTAACTGATCCTTCTCCACTTCTAGGGACATTTCTGCCTCCAAGCTCCGCTTTGCCAGGCTACAGCCAGAGGTAACAAGAGAGTCGGGTCCTGCACACTCTCGACGGAGGAAAAGATAACCCTTTTCAGCAGCAGGACCACTGAGAAGGAAGCCCATGTGGAGACAGGAGGCAACGGGCAGCTGGGGAGACCCCGTGCCTGTGTTCTGGGCCAAGACCTCAGCCCCAGCTAGCCAGACCCATCCGATGGGTTCAGCACAAGCTCCGGTCTCTCTTACAGCACTTACAGCTGCTCTGCGCCCTGACGCCGCCAGGCCACCCTGAGCTCCTGAGCAGCAGTGCAGCCCCCCCCTCTGTGCTGGCTGCTGGCTACAGATCTGCTTGAAGGAGCTCCGTGAAGCCAAATGAACATGCTGACTGTGTCCTGAGGAGTGTCCTGTGTGCTGGACTGCAATCTAGGAGCAGTCCCACGTTAGGAGGAGACTGGATGGGGCATACTGATGACCGACATCCCAGCGGGCCCCCATGATTCTCTCTGGTTCCCCCTCCCTTGGGGGAGGGGGCGGGGCCTGCTCTCCTTCGCTCATCTGTATATAAGTTATTTGCTCTATGAACTTTGAACTGCTTATTATTTATTTTAATGTATTTTTGAGCATCAATTGTTTACTTATGAACTCATGTTTATAATAAAGAATGAAATGGTCTTCTAGGAGTTTTGTCTTGGAAGGTCCAAGCAGAGGTGAGAGGTCCCTCCCAGGAGGGATCATTCAGGACTTAAAAGGACACGGGAAGAAAAGAACAGTTCAGCAATATGGGTAGCTGGGACCCAGATTCCCCTGTCCCTTACTGGGTTTCTCTGGCTACTAACATACCCTCTCTGGGCTTTTGCCTGTCGTGACTTAGACAGCCACCTGCAGCTGTCACATCTGGGGTCTGGGTCATATATTCCCAATAGACAAGAACACAATGGCCAGGCACTCTTCAAGGGTAAATTTGGAAGACGTTAGATCCATGAAGGTGCAGAGACCATCTTCAGAACCAGAAATCTTGTTCAGCCAGGGCCTGACTGGGGGGCCTCCGTGTATCTGTCCTGTGACAAGCGGAACCAGATGGATACATGTCTGTGTGCAAAGTGGTGGCTGGTGATGGGTGCCGAACCCTATCCTCAACCTGGGCCTGGCCCTGACTCTCACTCTGACACTTCTCTGACTGATGGAGCCAGAGTTGGAGTCAAGCAGCACCTTTGCTGGGCCCAGGGACAGCCTATGGTCCAGAAGATTCCTGCAGGCAATTGCCTGGACACTTGGCCGGCTGAATCTCCCACAAGCAAGCTGTGTCCTATACCCATGGCTGGGAATGACTGGCTCACACTGGGAGTGGCAGGCTGTGACCTGAGCCAGCTGTCAGGAAATATTTATGGAGCAGGCAATAATCATTTACATGCCTGCCATAACCCTGCCTTTTCCACAAAGCCAGCCCCAGCCTCCTTCTGGGAGAACAACGCACCGGTATGTTTTGAGCCCCGCTGTACACCAGCTTGGTCTCTGTTCAGAGAAACCCACTTTGTCTTCACCACACTGGGACGCAGACTTCCACAGCCCGTGCTTTCCAGACGAGGGAAGCGATGCACAGAGAAGAACAGGGACTTCCCTGAGGTGACACAGCAAGTAAAGAAAAACCCAGGATTGCAGCTCGGAATCTGTAGTATAGATGGGCGCAATAAATGCGTGTTGCTTGAATTCGTGGAACTACACTGTAATTTGACATTGAACTTTCTCCTGCTGAGCCTCTGCTGTCTCATCTGGAGAATAAAAAGTGATAACTCTCACTTCCAGGATGGTCAGAACAAGAAGTGGTAATAAGCTCTGGCCCCAGGGCCTGTTAAGTAGAGTGGGTTTAGCAGCTTGTGTGGTGGCGATTGTGTGTGGGATGGGGACAGAGCCAAGGGACTATGTGGGGGCAGATTGGGACTGGTTGAGGTAGAGGTGGGGGTAAGAGAAAGGATCCCACATGAATGTGGTGCTCCTTCTGTTACCTTCCTAGATGACAAGAGCCGGTGAGATGGCTCAGTGAGTAAAGGCACCTGCTGCCAAGACCCACAACCTGAGTTCACCCTGGGACCCATGCGGTGAAAGGAGGGAGCTGACTCCCGAAAACTGTCCACTCACCTCTACATGTGCAATGTAGCAGGCATATACCCTTACACAGACACACACGCACACACACACACACGTACACTAATTCTAATTGTCCACTTACCTCTGCATGTGCACTGTAGCATGCATAATACCCCTACACACACATACACACAAACACGTACACACACACACACAAATTGTCCACTCACTTCTACATGTGCACTGTGGCATGCATATACCCCTACACACACACAAACACATACATTATTTTAAAATTTAAAAATTAAAAAAAAAAGATAAACAAGACTGGAACAGAAGGAAACCAGAGCCAGAGTCAGGATGGATGTGAGCAAGGAGGTAAGGCAGGGTGAGTATGGATGACAGAGGAGTCCTCAGACAAGTCCTGTGGCCAAAGCAGGCAAGGGGAAAGAGCTGGAGATGAAGCCACAAGGGTCTCCAAGGGTAAGTCAGAAGACAGGCTTTCTCCTGTGGGCCCCAGAGAGCCGTGAGCAGTCTGGAAACAGCAAGGAAAGTTGTCAGAGGCAGGTTCCAGAACAACGTCCACCAGAGGGCCAGTCAGGGCTAGCGTGGATGAGGGAAGAGGTGGCAGGGAAGTAATGTCACATCCTTCCCCGGGATGCTGAGACCTCCTGGACATGAAGCCATGGGGACAGCCCTGCCACTTGATTCCCAGAATCCCAGGCCAGATCATCTTGTCACACTCCAGCTGGGCTGGCATGGGAAGCTGCCATTCCCAGCACAGCGTTTTCCACTCAGACTTGTCCTGCCTCCTCAGAAGCTCAAAATCCACAACCAGTGGTCAGGGCTGACAGCCCCAGAGCCACCCTGGAAGGAGACATAATGTCCATAATGTCCGGGTGAGGAAAGTGGAGGCCACAGAGGAGAGTGCTCACTGCTTTTCCCTCACACTTGGGACCCTGGTCAAAGTCTAGAGATTGACAGAATGGCAAATACTGGCCGAGGTAACACCCATTCTCTTTGTTCCTGGGTCATAGAAAGAGCTATCTGGCTTGTGCCCTTTCCTCAGGAGACCCTGTCCTGCCTCTCCTCTCTGGATTGGGACAACAGAGGGCAGAGCCAAGAGTCTTTCCCACAGCCTCAGGTAGCCGAGGCCCAGCAGCGGCTGATGTGACCTGCAGTTTGAGAAGAGCAGAAAAGCCGTGAGACCAATGAAGCCCTGGGAAAAACCATGCTGGGAAGCTTGGATCTGGGGAACAAAAATCTCCTCCTTTTTCTGCCTTTTTAATAAACACTTAATAAATCTTTTCCAAGTTTTAATTTCTTTTTACATTTATTTGCAAAAATGGGGGCACATGCATGCCATAGCAAGTGTGTGTGAGTGTGTGGGTATGTGTATGTGGGGGGTGTATTTTGTGGGGGGATGTATTGTGAGGGGGTGTATGTGTAGGGCCCAAATACAACTTGAGAAAGTGAGTTCTCTTCTTCTACCACCTGGGTCCTGGGATCAAAGCCAGGTGTCGTCAAGTTTAGCAGCAAGCACCCTTATCTGCTAAGCCCACCTCACTTACTCATTTTCCAGGGCGTTTTGAAGCAAAATCGTGGTCTGTTGGATGGAACCCTGACAGAGAGAAGCTAGAAATGGGATGACCCTGGTTTCCCTGGGGCACGTGTTGGGGAGAGTGACTTGGGGAACAGGTAAGGGACTACATGTAGATCAGGTACAGGCCAGGTCAGGGAAGTTGCTGCCTGAGCCATGCACGGCTGCTTTCAGACACGCCTCATCCACGAGCCCAGGGAATTCATCACACACACAAACACACACCCACACACCCCACCCCAGCCACCGCCTCCAATAGAGTCCAGGGTCAGTCCAGATAAGCCACTTGCCCCAGGGCAATAAACTCCTGGACTGTGGCCATCCATTCATTAAGCGGAGACAAATAATCATCTTTGTGGAGACGCTGGAGAGTCGTGCCAACAGAGGTGGCCCCTGTCTTGAGGGCCGGAGAGCTGCCCAACATGGAGATACACACAGAGCCTGCCGCGTCCTGCTAGCTGATAGGCTCCTCACAGCTGCCTTACACAGCAGATTCTTGAATTATTACCCCCATTGCACGGATGAGCATGCTAACCTGCACCTAGGAGGAAGAGGCAAGAGATCAGTCGCTTGAGCCTAGGAATTTGGGCTAGCTGGGCAAGATAGTGAGACCTTATCTCTTTAAAAATAAGGAAAAGAAAGAGGAAGGAGGAAGAGTAAGAGGAGAGGGAATGAGATGGAAGAGGAAAGGAAGGCCCATTCTACTGCACCCACCTTAAATCCCAGCAATGGGGAGGCAGGGACAGTCAGATCTCTGAGAGTTCGAAGCCAGTCCAGGGTGCAGAAGGAGTTCCAGGAGACCCAGAGCTACATAGTGAGACCCTGTCTTGGAAAACAAAATAATCCAAAAGGGTGTGTAGGGGGGAGATAATGAGACTCCATTGCTTCATTTGCTTTATTGTTGCTTGTTTTTGTTTTGAGTCAGGGTCCCACATAGCCCATGCTGGCCTCAAATTCAATATTTCCCCAGAGGTGACCTTGAACTTCTGATCTTCCTGCCTCTGTGTTCTGGGATTATAGGAAGTGCTCAGGATCACGTGTGCTAGGCAAGCACTTTGCAACCATACCGAGTCCATCTCCAGCGTGGTTGTAGCTAAGCTGCCATTAGCCCCTGGCCTCTAAAGTCTGACGGGGAAACAGCCACACTGAGATGGAACCTTGGAGAAGGGAGTCCAAGGTGGCTTCCTGGAGTAGGTGGCCTGAAGGAACAAGCATCAGTTGAGTAAGGTGGGGGAGAAGGTCCTAGACAGGAAGAGCAGCATAGACAAAGCTCCTTTCTTCAAGGATGGAGGCTGGGCTTGGCCTCTCCTGGGTATTAAAGAAGGGAGGGGTCTGGAAAAGCCTGGTAGGGTCTGCAGAAATGAGCCATGATGTCCTGAGTGACATAGCCAGCCCAGGCATGAGGTGATGTTGTAGGTGGGGGACACCAGCAGCAGCTGTTACACGCACACACACACACACACGTGAACGCACACACACGCACATGCACGCGTGTACACACATACACACACACATGCGAACACACATACACCTGCATATATACACATACACAGACAACCCCAGAAAAGGGGGTTATTACCATGCTAGAAGTCTCTGCCATTGGTGCTCTTTGCCCCTGGACACTACCTGCTACCCTGAAGCTCTCCCAGCCTGGCAAGGGGAAGAGCTGGGGAAAGGAATGTGCTGTGAACTAGTCTTCCAGCTCTTGCAGGCCATTGAAGAGCAGGACCAGAAGGGTTTGCTTACACTGGGATAAGGACCAAAGCATGACAGACACCCAGGGGAGCAAAGACAGGAAAGTTCGGCTACACCAAGGAAGGGTCCAGGTAGGGAGAGGCAGCTGGCCTGAGCTGCGGGAGCCAGGTGGAGAAGAGCATCCAATGGCAGGGATTTGAATTCAAGTGATGAAGAGCTAGTCAAGGTTGCTAAGCAAAAGAGCCAGGACAGGAGCCGGCCTTGGGCTTCTGGG